GCATGCACGCATGCACGCACACACAGACAGACAAACAAATATACTTTTCTAGTGCAAATCGTCTAACTCGACTCAACTTTTGCCAAATGGCGAAGCATAATGGAATAGAAGAGAGAAGTAATAAAGAATAAAGTGAAATGAGATGAAATAAAAAATAAAAAGAAAGAAATAGGAAAATAATATAAGAATAAAAATAAAAGTGGAAAGAAAAAAAGAAAAAAGAAACAAAAATGACGATTTTTTCTCTCGATCGATACATTAAAAATCGCTTGATATATTCTTTCATACGACTATTATTTAGGCTAATGATTTCTAATTGATCTTTTTGTTTTTCTTTTTTTTCTTTCTTCTTTTTTTCTTTTTTTTTTTTTTTTTTTTTTTTTTTTTTTTGAATTTTCTTCTTTCTTCTTTTTTTGTTTTTCAAATCTTAAAATCACGAGACTAATAATGATCGTTGGCGAGGATCAAATGGATCTCAAGGGGGAAAAATATTAAATCAATTTTTCTCAAAATGAGGAAACGAAAAATTTTCACCTTCCTTTTCTTTTCTTCTTCTTCTTTCTTTTGCCTCATCCAGGAACTTTTGACTCTCGATCTGTAAAAAAAGAAAAAAAAAAAAAATACAAACGAAAAAAGAGAAATGAAAATAAACAGTAAAGAACAGAAAAAGTGAATTTTTCGAATCACCCTTTCTCCCCTCCTTTTTTTAAGACCCACTTAATGACTCTCATTTGGTTGCCGCGTTCTGCAGAAGAAGACTGAAAAAAAGAAAAAAGAAAAAAAAAAGGAAGAAAAAAAATCAAAAAAGGAAAAGGAAAAAGTGAAGGGAGAAGGAAAAAGGAAGAAAACGAATCAAAAAAGGAAAAGGAAAAAGTGAAAGGAGAAGGAAAAAGGAAGGAAGGAAGGAGGAAAAAAGAAGAGAACAAAAATTAGGGGGAGAAAAAAAGAAAAGCCTCTATGGAGAATTAAGCGCAGTAAGGGTGGTTGGTCGGGTACGGAGGGAGGGGGTCGGGTCGGGTCGGATCTGGGAGGGTGAGCAGATAGATGCGTGAACTTGATGGGGTTGTGGGAGTGAGAGTGGGAATAGGGTATGGGAGTTCGTAGGTCGCGTGGGTCGATGAGTTTCAGTAGGGCCGGTGTATGCGGCTGTTGAAAAAATTTTTTAAAATGGGTCAAACCTTTTTATCCGGCTTTCAATTTCTCAATGAGTCGTCGTATCCTTATTCTTCCCTTTCATTCTCACCCTCCGCCATCCCTACCCCTCCCCTCGACCTCTTAATGTCCCCTACCACCTTCCTTCTATTTTCTTCTTCTCTTAGCGCTTGCTTTTTCCCTTTTCCATTGTGACGTATATAGTATAGCTCTACGGGAAATTGACTTCGTCTTCTCCGTCGTCTCTTTTTCTTTGTTTTTTTTTTTTTTTTTTTTACTTTCCTCTCTTCTTCTGTCCTTTTTTCTCCCTTTTTCCCTTCATTTCTTCTTCTTCTTCTTCTTCTTCTTCTGTTTTTTTTCTTTTTTTTTTGCTTCTTTTTTTCTTTTCTTTTTTTTTTCTTCTTTTTTTTTTTTTTTGTTTCTTTTCTTTCGTCACCAGAACGCGCCGATACGTAACGAGAGGAATATCTTTCGTATCCCAGCTAGTATCTCGAAGGTCCAAGTGCTAACAAATGCAATTTAACTTTTATGAAGTATCGTCTCTATCCTACTCCCATAACGGATCTCAATTCCACCGAAGGATTTCACCTCTTCTATAACTTAACCCTCAACCCATGACCCCGGACAATCCCATTAATAATAATTTTATTAGAAAAGTACTTGTGTGCGATCGTTGTCATTTCGAAATGTTATCGGAATAATGTATGTATATGTGTGTGTATGTGTGTGTGTGTATGTGTGTGTGTAAGTTGGATATTTTATATTTTTTTCTTTCGTCTCTTTTTGTTTTTATTCATGGGTTACTTTTTTTCTTTTTTCCTTTTTTCTTTCTTTTTTTTTTTAATTATTGAATCGTGAATTTTAGAATTTTATATATATATATAGCGAAAAGAAACGTTATTGTATATATATATATATACAAAATTTTTTTAAATAATTCTTTTATGTACAATTTAAAAATTAAAAAAAAAAAAATAGCCTGCGTTTAAAAACAAATATATATGTTATATAATATTTACATAAAATATATATATATATATAATATATGTATATATATATATATAATATTTTAGAGTATATATATTTTACATATATATATATATATATATATATATTCCCTTAGAAGAGTATTATTTCTAAAAATTTTTAAATTCTACACAGATAAATGAATTATTATTATTTTATTTATTTATCTATTTTTTATTAAATAAAATTATTAGGCAAATCATATTGAAAATTATTTTTAAAAGACAAAAGACAGAATTATTGCTTCCTTCCTTTTTCTTTTTTTTTTTTCTTTTTTCTCTTTTCTTTTCTTTTCAAGAACAAACATAGATCACTTACTTTTTCCATAATATTGTCAAATATCTATAAAAATGATCTATCCCGAAATATGAAAGATACTTATGCGAAATTGAATTTCGTAGGTTTTTTTTTTTTTGTTTTTCATAATCAT